ATTCACATTTTTTCAATAAAAAATTAGAAATGTTCAAATATAGTTGTTGATTTCTTAATTAGACATTGTCATAAAACAAAAATCAACTAAAAAGAGAGAACTCCGGAATTATTACTGGTACCCCTATATTTTTAGTGCTATTAAAAAGCATTTTAAATTTTCAATCTTACAGAAAAAAAATTATTGTCTTGCGACTAACCGTTATCGAGAAAATCGCTAGTATAGGCAAAAATAGGCAAAATCAATAAATCGTCCATAACTTCTAAACTATCAAAAAATTTTCTGTTTTCACAACATGCATCGACTCCCCGAAACAGTTTACATTTATTTAGTGCAAAATATTAAAATAAAATTACAACAATATTTTTTTCAGAAAGTGTAAAAGTCAAAATTTTACATTTTTAAAAGCATTTTTCTGAGAAACTATAAAACCTAGACCAAAAATTTAAAAACCATTGGAATACGGTTTTAATTATTTATCCAACAGTAAAAACCCAAAGTTGCGATTCCAGGAACATAAACATTTTTATTTTTACAGTTAAAAAATTCATTTAGAATTTAGAAACTTCATTTATTCCGTTTTTTTTTAATTTCCGCTATGACTGATATTCGCATGTTTGGTACCGTTACAAAGCCCATTTAATTTTCTGTTTAACAAAAAAAAATCATCATCCTGTAAAGTACAGTTCTCGAAAAAATCTCGAAACTTGAGTTAAAGACCCGTAAGATTACAGTAAGATTTTTATTTTACAGTTAAAAGAATTTTTGATTTTTTCCATTTTTTCGAAATTTTCGTAATTTGGTTACTACTGGAGCGGTTAACCACCGATAACCCTGAAATTATAACTGCTACTTCTATATTTTTAAATAAAAAATAGGCAAAATCAATAAATTGTCCATAACTTCCAAACTATCAAGAATTTTACGGTTTTCTAAACCCCAATTGACTTTCTGGAACATTTTACATTTGTATAGTATAAAATGTTACCATTGTCAAGCCAAAATTACCAAAATTGTTTTTTTTTTGGGGAAAAAAATTTCAAATTTTACAATTTTAAAAGCATTTTTCTCAGAAACTATAAAACTTAGGCCAAAAATTTCAAAACCATTGGAATACGGTTTTAATTATTTATCCAATAGTAAAAACCCAAAGGTTGCGATTCCAGGTACAAAAACATATTTATTTTTACATTTAAAAAAATTCATAATTCAAAAGGTAAGATTTAGAAACTTGATTTTTTCCACTTTTTTTCAATTTCCGCTATGACTGATATTCACATATTTCGCATGTTTGATACCGTTACAAAGCCCATTTAATTTTCTGTTTAACAAAAAAAAAATCATCATCCTGTAAAGTACAGTTCTCGAAAAAATCTCGAAACTTGAGTTAAAGACCCGTAAGATTACAGTAAGATTTTTATTTTAC